CATATGAATGATAAAGGCTGGGTTTAACATTTTTTTAGTTTATTTATTAATAGTTTTAGTTTAGTTTAGGGGATGGTACAACCAAGATGGACCAAATAGGTCACATGTTGTCCCATACATTATGTTATGATACACATGAGTGTCATTGGCACTGTAGCTAAATTTTTTTATATATGCCATCCATTTCACAATCAATTCAGGGTAAATTATAGTTATGGGAATATAAAATTTGAATTTCTTTCATGTGAAATAACAAAAAAAACTTTCACCTCATCAAGAGTAATATCCTTCCATCGTGTCATATATGCATTTCCTTGGGCTCGGCGTATAAATAACTCCTCAGCATATGCATTTGTTTCAATAACTGAAAGGCTGTAAAACTTGTTAGCAGACACAGAGGAAAAATTGAATACAATGTCAACTTTTAACTCTGGACTTCCAGTAAATTAAAATTTTTTCATGGTTGATGAATTTTCACTCCACATGGCCATACCAGCATCAGTAGTCCTGCTGCTGTCACTAGGTCTAGCAATAATATTACGCTCAGCTAATGATTCATTCAGTACATTAAAAGATTTTGATACCTCATCATCAATGTATCTTTCTTCAGTTGGAAAATACTGATTCCCACTTTCTGAGAAAGAAGAACCCTCCAAATTGTCTGATAAGTCCAATAATTCTTCACCATCAAAGTATCTGTGGGGCTTTTTTTTACCTATAACTTTTTATAGAAGTTTGATTAAACCCTATTTAGTTCCTCCAAGTAAAATTTAGTTTTACATATTATGATTATCAAAACAATTAATGAACCTTTTAACTTAAGTTAAAAAATGATCTGATCCTTTAGACAGCACGAACACAGGAAGAAATTGCACATGCTGAGAGCTTGGCTCTGCAGGTTTCTAAAGTTGTTAAAGATGCTCAACAGTTACAAGAGTTAACAAAGAAACTGTCTAAGATGATAACTTTAAAGGTAAGACTTTGATATATTGTCCATCACCTTCAATTCATCAAATAGATTATTTAAATATTTGCCAATAATTTTATACATTGTCCAAGCAAACATGGTGTAGGTCATATTTTGCATATGCTGGCGTGATTTAGTTTTTTATATAGATTATTGTTTATGACTTAACAGTGTCACCCCAAGCTAATGCCTCTGAAGCTGGGGAATTGTTTTTGATAAAATAAATTATTTAATACAAACTAATAATTAATACCTTGATTAATACGTTCACATGCTGCACAAAAATGTATATCTACTATTTCTATGTCTGTTCTAAACCGAATAGTTTAATTAAGGGAAAATTTGAGTATGTCAGTGTAATAAATAAATCATGTCATAAATAACTGCAGCTTTAAGTTGAATGTACCTTAGTAATCATACCATCATCATTTCTAAAAACGTAGTTTGATAGTTGATAAAGTTGTTGGCTTACTTTAATTAAAATAAGATATTCCTGCATTAGAAAATTCTTATGTATGTAATTTGACCTGCCATCAACATGAAAAGATTACATTGGAAAATATTATACTGTCAAACATTGGAAAATATTATACTGTCAAACATGGGAAAATATTATACTGTCAAACATTGGAAAATATTATACTGTCAAACATTGGAAAATATTATACTGTCAAACATTGGAAAATATTATATCATGCATGCATTTTAGCAAAAAAGAAGAATTTTAAGCAAAAAAAAGATTACAAAGAAATATTTATATATTTTCATATTTAAATATGGTATTTCAAAGTGCCAGAATATTGTTATTTTTTTTCTTTGAGATAATTTTTTGAGATATGGTGTTTCTCTTATTATTAATCAACAGTACAATCTAAGAAAGTAGATCAGTGTATGTGAGTTTATTTAATTAAGCCACTTAGAATTAATACAGCACTTAAAATAATGGTTGGAATTAAACTAATTACTGAACAAGTCTTGGAAATTGAGACAAAATTATAAGCAACTTCATATGAATAAATATCAAAATGCTTTAATTAAAATTATTTGTAGTTGAAAAGTCCATTATAATATTATTTATAGTTGAAAAGTCCATTATAATATTATTTGTAGTTGAAAAGTCCATTATAATTTCGCTAAATATATTATAACCAGGGGCACCATTCTGCTCAGAAAATGTCCCCCTTGTTTAATAGCATCTGTTTATTTTTAGAACAAATAGCTATATAAGATGTACAGTTTGCGTTATTTGAATGATTGTAATATTACATATAAAATTGTCAGAGCAAATGCTCATAAAATAGACTGATACTTACACTTTAACCAGTATTAAAAAAAAAACAGTAACATCCAGGGACTTAATTCTAGTCCTCCAATAACAACATCAAAAGTGGAAATGGTGCTCCTGATTGTAACTGCCTTAATAATATTAACATAAAAGTATATATCTTATAAATAACTGTAGTTGTTGCATGGAGAGCGTAAACATAATTGGTAATAGTATAAGCCAATTAGTTGGTGATATAGCATGTGAGAAGCGGTTTTGGTAGTGTAACATGTTAAATGTTATATGTGACATAAACTGTTCAGTTAAAAAGAGGTAGTGGAATACTACAGATTCTTTATTAGTATCATTCTAAACTCTGAGTGGTATTGGCATGAAGTAAGAGGCAAAACAAAAAAATACTTGTTTGTTTTGTGAGTGTGTAAAAACCCCTTTTATTTTTGGAAAAACTGCAACAAACTCAAAATGGAATATATGAGAAATATATGAGTTATATGGATGATATGAGTTGCTTTTGAGTCAGTGCCTTCCTTGATGATGGAAAGGTCTGAGTTGATGTTGCCCATCTGCATTCATCCATGTCATCATTGGCTTTTACACTCCTCAGCTCCTACAGGAGGTCATTGTTCTGCCTCTATTTGAGTTTCCCAACCCACAACATCAGCCCCTCAGGTCATTGGTACCCATAATAGATTCCTCTCATATCCACAAGGATCCTCTGCTCAGTTGGAATGCCGTATGCCTTTGGGGTCTGTGGGGACTCAGCTCTGAGAATTTCTGGATCTGTAGAAAACATTTACCATGGATACTACAGGTTCTTGCATCAGGATTAGTCATTCAGTTCACATCACCACCACCATTATCCCTCCAACCTGTGGTTTTTCTGCCTCCTGTAGATCCTCAGATTTCAGAACTTTGTTCCACAGCTATCAGAGATTTGTCGGTGAAGGGAGGAGTGGAGAGAGTCATTCCAGTTCTTCTAGGATTTTATTCCTGTCTGTTTGTTATACCCAAGAAAATGGGAGATTGGCATCCAGTCATTGAACTTTCTCGTCTGAATCAATTCCTAGATCCAAAGTTCACAATGGAGTCATTCCTCACTCTGCATTTGCATTTTTTGCCGGGACTGTGGATGACCAAGTTCAATGTCACCAAAGCTTATCTGCATGTTCCCTTAGCAGAATTATCCTGCCACTATCTTTATTATGTGCACAGGGGTCAGGTGTTGCAGTTCAGGGCTCTACCATGTGTGTTCTGCCTCATTGTATGATCTTTCTTTCTTATCACTCCATTCCCTGAGCCTGTACACATACCATTACATGGACTATTGGTTACTACTGACACCATCTCATCAGTTGCAGAACATCACACCCAGATTCTACTTTCCAAACCAACCAAGGCAGTATTTCTTATCAGAGTTGAGAAATTATTCTTATTCCAACTCATATATTGTCCATCTGGATGTTTTTTCAACACATCTCTCAGTCGGCTCAGCCAACTCCCATCTGGCTCCACATTATGGAACAGGCAGTCAGACTCTTACTCAAGTCTCCTTCTCCCACTGCTCAGATGGTCCTTTCTCTTTTGGGGATGTGGGCATCACTCGAATCCCTCATTCCTTTGAGACAAACACACATGAGACCCTTCAATTGCATGATCAATGGATCATGAACAGCAATCCACTGGATTCCCAGGTCTCTTTATTCACGATCAACATCTTAGACCTTAAATGGTGGTTCGATCAAAACAATACTATGATATATGTTTGTTCCTCTGCCGCCACCTTGTCCAGAGATCTAATTTTTTATGGATGACTCGCTACAAGGATGGGGTGCATATCTTAGTGGTCAGGAATTCTAGGGTCTATGGATGGACAACAAGGCTTCCCTACACATCAATGTTTTATAACTCCTTGCTGTGCAAAAAGCGATGTCTCAATGTCTGGAATTGTTGAAGGGCAAAGTCACTATGCTTCACTCTGACAATTCCATGGTGGTGTCTTGCATTTCCTATCAAGGGGGCACTCGGTCCAGGTCTCTGTTTTCGAACCTTGGATATTCTTTATTGGGCCCACAACCATCATATTATCTTACTAGCTTGCCATGTTTTGGGGGTGAGGAATTTGGTGGTGGATCAATTGTCTCAACCCAACAGGATTCTTCCGATAGAATGGATGCTTCATCAAGATGTTTTTAATTAGATTTGCTGTTGGTCCGGGACAATGATGATCTATGTGTTTGCTACTCATTGGAACACTCAAATTCAGCATTTTTGTCTCTGGTACCTGACCCTTGGGCATTGGCAATAGATGCATTCAGTCAGGATTGAACTGGATTACACCTATATGCCTACTCACCAATTTTTCTGTTACCCAGAGTTCTAGCAATGATTCACTCTACCCATTGTTGCATTCTGTTGGTAGCACCAGATTGGCTAACTCAACCCTGGTTTCCACTTTTGCAGTACCTTCAGGAGTGCCCACTACTTCCTCTTTGGCTCTCTCTATTGAGGCATCAATGATCCAACGTCTTACACCCATCCATTCCGAAGCAGTTCTAATTGAGAAAAGCTATTTTATGAGAGGATGGAAAGTATCTATCAGAAATACATTGTCTATTTTGGACAATGTTAACTTTTGTAGTGTATGATTGACTGTTGTTATCAAATTGACTTTTGTGCCTAAAATAATATTCTAATAATATGATTTTTAGTCCATACAGCATGTACATAACTATCCATACATTATTGTTAAATATGACTCTCTGATGTAAATTTAATTGTGTACTTTTCATTGCATTGTTTCATATTTACATATTATTGTTTTCACATCAATATGGTATATTTAAAGAAGGTTTCCTCTTTCAAAAATGGGTGTATTTTTACCTCCCAACCTCATATACATTTAAATATCAGTTTATGACTTTCCTTAAAGTCATGCTTGATATTAAGATATTAAGGCCTATTTTGCAATCAAACTAATTAACTGTGAATATGGTATCTTTCCTTCAGATTTTTCACATTGAGCTATAAAATATTATTTTAAATTTAATATCATAACAATTACTAATTATAGAAAGCTAGTAGTTAGTATTGTGGTGTGGTATACAGTTTTTGTCATGTACACAGAGACTAGTATTATATATTCAGTGGTGATTTATGAGACAAAATAACACTCTACTATAAAAATATATGAAATGGAACTGGTCCATATTGTATAATCTCAGTGATGACTTCATTAATTGAGCTCATAGATGATTTTTCACTCCAATTATGAAAGAAATTGAAAGTTTGCTCCCTGATAAAGAAAGGTCCACCTTTTGAAAATGCTTGTGTTACAGAGTTTTGTACTTTTATGGAAGGAGTTGAAAATTATGATGACATAGCACCAATAATGGCAGTATATTTTAAAGAGAATAAGCAGACAATCTAAGAAACAGTACATACCAAGTAGTATGCAGGTAAAATATATTTGTAAGCTTCAAAACTAGTGTCTGACTGTAGCATTTTGTTAGATATATGTCATGTATTTTGTGATGTACATATGTTTTCATACTGAACTATAGCTAATGAATTTTATTCATCTCATTTAGGTGGTTGAAAAAGATAAAAAAAGTGTTGATATTATTCGAGCAGAAATGCGATTGCAGCATATTAAGGATGATTTAAAGTCCAAACAAGTGGACCAAGAAAAAATGGAAAACTGTCTAAGTGATAATAAAGAAAAGTAAAGAAATATTTTAAATTCTTATCAACTTTTAATTGCAATTTAAAACGTGTCCAAGTTATGTTCTGTTTCATTTATATTGTGCACTAGCCATCCTTACCAGGCATTGCCTGGATATTACCTGAACAGAGAGCCAATGTTTAGCTATTTTTAAATAAGAAAGATCAAATGCATAAAGGTACTAATACCGAAAAGAAAGACATACTGTTTTCAAGCACTCTATGAATATAAAATTAATATGAACAAACATTTCAATAAAAGTGTTTTCTTAAAAACATGATGTTATAAAACTGTTATTGTTTTAAATTTTTTAAAAGTAACCATGCATTTCTGCGAATAATGTAAAACAATGAAAGTTTATAAAAAAAGGCATAAAAGTGTTAGAATTCGTATTACTGGCAGAAATGATTATATGCATGGTTACTTTTAAAAAATATAAAACAATAATAGTTTTGTAACATCAGGTTTTTAAAAACATTGTACTGAGTGAAACCTAAACTCTTGTTCAGCTCTTTGTTTAGTTAGTATAATCAATCACTCTCTCAGCTAGCAAAACTAATCAACTTATTTTGTAATTCAAACTAAAGACTATATACAAACACAGAACCTATGTGGTTTGAATGTAAAATTAAACTTTCAATTTTATAATGTATTATTTGAACTATGAAAAATGCTTTTGTTTTTTCTCTACATAATACCTGTAATTGTATTGTCCTTATGTTTATTATATCAAACCAATCAGTTTATATTATATATTCGTCACAATTCTATGTATTCAATAACTTTAATACCAGATATCAGTTATTGTTAAGACTGTTGCCTAGATACTTATTTTAAAATGGGGTTCCACAGTTAAAGAATTTTTATCACCAAGTGCATTATTTTCTGATGAAAGCCCCGGTAAGTGAGCCAAAAGTACACAAATAAAAGTAGTTTAACAAAGGTAAAAGTCCGTGTATTATTCTACATATTGATTAACCTATGTTATGAGTCTTAAACAACATTTATTAGGGGCGAGTTAAGCATGATAGAAAATATCGCTTACCTTTTGTGATATTCTTCCTGAGTAGGCGTTTCCTCTCAACTCCCTTTCTGGTGAAACTCACAGCTGTAATGCTCATTCAGAAATGATAATTTTTGTAAAATGATTGAAGAAAGTTTTGCATCATTCATATTTTCTTCAATTTTTTTTAAAATATTTTAAAATAAAAATCGATATTACCTGTGCAGCAGAAAAACAAATTTGACCTTATTTCAAATTTCTTTTGTTTTGCTGCAGAAGTAATAAAGACTTTTATTTTAAAATATTTTTTTATCAATTTGAAAATCAGAAATACAAATTCTAACACTTTTATGCATGCTTTTTTTAAAAACCTGTGTTTACAAAACTATTATTGTTTTATATTATTGGTGGAAATAGATAACATTTAAATATAATAATTTCCACCAATAATATGAATTTTAACACTTTTATACTTGTTTTTTTTTAAAAAACCTGTTATTATTATTAAACTTATTCCCTAACAATTTGTTGTACCAAACGACAGATGACAGCATATACTTCTCTCTTTTTATGGCTTAAGGGCTATAGGGCAAAATTATTGGCCAAACGTTTTCTAGAGAAAAACAAAACCCAGACGCACACTCTCAGAATTCCCTTTGTATATGTGCAAAGTTTCAGATCTCTAGGTTCTTTCTACTTGGAGCTATGGTGCTGACTGACTGACACACACACTTACACAGGCTGTTTTATTATTATAGATAAGATGTCCTAACTTTTATACATTTTTAGTACGAAGTGTATGTTATTTTTTGATTAACCCTTTCTGGATCCTTTGTTTTTCCCTTCTCATAATGGAAATACTTAAACTTGCATGAAACTTATTAAATAGTTTCTAGTTTGGTATTAAAATATTAATCTAATTTGATTTTGTTTTTCTATAATTTTTTATGTTGTGAAATTTTCAAAATTTTGTTGCAAGAAACTGTTTTGGAAAAAAAAACATGGCACTTCATTTTAGAATTTAAATTTTCAATATTTATCAGAAAATACCATGTTATAAATATTCATTCAATTTAAATGATACTCATTAATGTAGTTCTTTTGATACTTCATTTTGCCAATAGCATTAGTTACCACTTCCATCTATACATTGTAAAAAACACTCCAAAGAAACTGACAAAAATATTGTGTAAGAAATATACTTTATTTTCAACAAGTTATAAGTTATTAAATTTATGTGCATTGTTTGAATACAATTAACTTAAAAATAATATTTGATAAATAAAGATTAGTGTCACAGAAATATTTTGCTGTCAACTATTGAAACATAAATCTAATTAGTAGGTTTAACTGATGTCTTTTCATAGAAGAAATTTTATGTAGCTTTCAAATAAATACACAAAAACATTTTCAGAAGCAATAAAATAATTTGTAAAGAAAACGTGGAAATATCCTATATTATCGGTGTGTTTCTATATCTTTTAACTTTCCCAATAAATAATGTTGTTTTTTTCTGCAAGAGCAAGGTCTTATCACTTTCCTACAAAACCATGAATTACTTCTCACACTACTTTGTTCATTCTATATTGATGTAAATAGCATATAATTTACTTTAGGTATTTTTGAAGTTGAGCTTTATTAGTTGTTGTTCATATCACATTCTAGAGATCTTAAATGGTTAGGAAGGAGAAATTGTAATAATACAATCAGAAGAAGAGAAAAAATATCATATGAGAAATAAAACATTGTGAATTATATTCTCAATAGATATAGCAAACATAAATCTATGCTTTGGAGTAGGCAGAAAATTTTTTAAAAAATGCTTATGTTCTTTACAGGCAAGACTCCTTAAAGATGTGCAGAAATATAGGTTGAAATTTATTTTTCTTTGCAGTTTACTCGAACTTTATGTTACAAAATGACAGAATAGAAATTGAAAAATTCTTTAGTAAAACAATGTTGAAATAGATTTTAAATTATCAATTTTTACCAAACTTCTTCAGTAAAACAATAGTGAAATAGTTTTTAAATTATCAATTTTTACCAAAATTCTTCAGTAAAACAATGTTGAAATAGTTTTAAATTATCAATTTTTACTTAAATTCTTCAGTAAAACAATGGTGAAATAGTTTTTAAAATATCAATTTTTACTTACATTTATAAATTTGATATGTGGCTGTACACTCAACACTTAAAAGGTGATCATTAGTCTAGGATTGATGCTGTTTTTGATTGTGTATGTTTAGTGATGTGTTCTTCTACTTTGTACCTTATTGTTTTTATGGCTTTAAAAAGACCCTGTTATAGACAAAGGGTTATTTAGATTTCCTTTTGATATCCTTAAAAATTCTTTTCATTACTAAGAAAACAAAACTGATTTTTGTGAGAGCTTGCATCTAATTGTTTTTTTTTTTTTTACATTTAAAGCATGTTTCTGAAGTCTTTTATAAAAATATAGTGTCAGGTTTTATTTCTGAAATTAGATTACTAGGTATACATTTATGATACTTGTTTTTGTTTCATTAGACTAATGGAAATTACTAAATTATACAAAATCACCAAGCAAGATAAAAACAGAATTGCAGGTTTATACCAGATTGCTTGCCAGAAAAAAGCCCAGCATACTGAGAAGCATTACATGGTACAGAGTCAAATTGAAATTTTAAAAAAAGAGACACTAAAGAATCAAAAGTAGGTAGCAACCATATGTGTCTTGTTTTATTTTTAAATAGTTTAATAGTAAGAAAGTAATAGATAAATAGTACTGACAGTGAATGTTGTCTCTTGAGAAGTTTTCTGAATTGGTTGATGTTTTAGTAATGTTTGCATAAATAACTATATTGTTTTGAAAGCAGTAACACTTACAGACATTGTTTACATTTGATGGTTATTTTATTTGAACCAGTTGTGACCTCTTTAGTTTTATATTAGCATCCCCTGATAAAAACTACACAAGTGGAAGTTAATGAGCTTGTGATATTTCTATGAAAAATTTATAGAAATCTTGCAGAAGCATCAGTGACACAAACTTTGTATATGCATGAAATCAGAAGCTAAACCATAGAAGCTATTTCCACATTTTACATTTCTTGTAAACAAACTTTGTATAAACATGATGCCAGATGCTAGGACATGCAAGTTACTTCTCCTTTTTATATCTTGCAGAAATGGACAACAATAAATAAAAATAAATATCCATTGATATAAAAAAGTTATAATTGAAAAACAGCCATGTTAAATCATTCACAACTGGAATTAATTGTACACATGTAACACCTATTTGATGTCACACTGTATTGACCAGTTTTCATACCCTGTCATCATTTATTGTGAAATAACTAATTTTATATAGACTTTAAAGCTAAATTCAGACTAATTTTTATTTGCATAAATCAAGGGAAACATGATTCAGTTAAATGATAAAAATGTTCGATCTATAAAGCTCGGACCAATTCTTACCTGCATATATTATTTTGTAGAAATATTATTATTTATCATAATATTTAAGTTCAGTTAAAGATCTATTAACAAGAATGTGAATCATTTTATGCCTTGAAACTTGCATAAAATACCACATCAGTGATTTGAAATTGAGCAAGTCAAGAATATTAAGAGATGTTGGAAGTGATTATACCATTAAAATTTACTTTAGTTTTGTATCCTATCTCTAGCTAGAATGAAATATTAATTTTACCAGTTTATATCTAAATTTTGTTATCCTGTATAGCAGGTCATGTACTTGTTGTGAGGAGAGGAAATCCACTATACACTTTAAATAAAAACAACCTCAGTAATAGAAAGAAAGAAAGGGAAAATTATATAAACTCCATGAAGGAACAAAATACACAAACTCAGACCCAGTAATAAGTGTCTAACTATATCATGCTTAACCAAAAACATCATAAACATTTAGAAACAAGCACCAAAAAATCACATTATAAACAACAACGTTACTTTTATTCAAAACCCGAGCACTAAAATCAAGGGGCATCTAAGGAAGATTTATTCTCACAACTTCAACAACAGAAGCATCTACAAGTATCAATGTGATTGATGCTTCACAACTTCAACAACAGAAGCATCTACAAGTATCAATGTGATTGATGCTTCACAACTTCAACAACAGAAGCATCTACAAGTATCAATGTGATTGATGCTTCACAACTCAACAACAGAAGCATCTACAAGTATCAATGTGATTGATGCTTCACTACTTCAACAACAGAAGCATCTACAAGTATCAATGTAATTGATGCTTCACAACTTCAACAACAGAAGCATCTACAAGTATCAATGTGATTGATGCTTAAATAGGTGAAACTGAAAGCAACATAAACATTAGGATCAAAGAACATAACAATCCCATCACAAACACAGCACAATGAATCAACATCCAATTAGCATTAACAACTTTAAAATATTATGTTATGAGAGCAACATTAATAGAAGAAGAATAAAAGAAACATTAATTATTCGTGAAGTAAAGCTTAATTTAAATCAAAACACAGGTGTCACCTTATATGTTTCATAAACTTGAACAAAATGCTCGTGCAGTATTTCTTTACTATTTCACCCAATATGTGCCAGTTACCTGATGATGGCCACATGAGTGGTTGAAATGTTGTAAGTAAGTTAAACAACCAATTAAAATAAACAACCCACTCAAAAGCTGTATCTCTGGATTTTTATTTAAAGGTCATATACCTGTTTTCTTTCTGGATTTAATACTTGGAGTTGTATTGACTAAATTTCTATTCAAGGAGAACATACATGAAAGAGTTATTAACTCACTTCTGTTGTAGGAATTTTTGTTGTACATACAGAATGACCTTAGGCTTCTTTTCTAAATGATTTTTAGTGACATTATTTATATTTCTATGGTTTTAATTTTGGAACAGAATTTAAACTGCCATACCTTGTGTAACTCACTTTGACTAAAAGACACCAGTATGTCACTGGTTTCCAATGGAAACTGCACTTTCTTGCATTGATAATCACTTATATATGTAGATAATTCAATAACAGTTACTCTACTGTTTTATATTTGAGAAATGGTTTTTGGAAGTAATCAAATTCACAATTTGTAAAATTTGCTGCATGTAGTTTTTATTCATATCTTAAATGCTGATGTAGAAATGTTTAGATTAATCTGTTTTTTGTAGGCAAAATAATGACATGTATTTCAAGTTACTCAATACACTAGTTTTCCGCGACCATCTGAAGCACAAAGTTTTGAAACAGCAAGTGAGCTTAGAGGAGTTGCAAGAGCAGTGCAGTTTACAAGGCCAACAATTGGAGCATTTGGAATCCATAGTTGCAGATGAAGAAAAATACTTAAAACATTTACGAGAACGATATGAAAAAGTTATACAAGAAAGAAATAGAAGGTTATAAAACTTATTATATGAATTTTTCAATGCATTTTAATCTTAAATGATTGAAAATTTTGACAAGCAGATGGTTAGATTGTGTAATATAAAAAGTATAATGATAATTAGCTAGACTTATACTACAAATATAAATTACTTATTAAGTAATGACATATGTGTAGATCTTACAGACAACGAAAGTACAGTGACTTGTTAAGTAACTGATAGATTGTAAAATAAATTAGGGCTTGCAAACTAATGAGAAAACTAAATAATACACATTACATTGATATATTAACTTCAGTTAATGTAACTAATGTAAAACCTATATGTTAAATCTTAAAGAAAAAATCACATACAAAAAGCTAAAACTAGAGATTCATGTTCTAGGATAGTGTTGATAACTGAAAAAGTTAGGCTTTTGAAATTTATAATAGATTAGTGTAAGCTCAGTAGTATGTTATAATATTATTTTTAATGAAAAGTTTAATAATGGATTTTTAAATCAACTGGACTAACTGTGTATCTTTAGGTAACAAAGTATGGTTCACATCAGGTGCAGAAATTGAGAAAAGTTGGCTTAAAATTTAAGGATCTGTAGGGCTTGATTTTAGTATACTGTCACCAGTCTGGTTATGGTTGTCCACTTCTCGTGATGATGATTCTGTGAACATACCACATCTATTGTTAGAGGTTCTTCTTTTCAGTCATTTGGCATTTTTATTAGCACCAGCAAAAATTCTTCTGTCCTCTCTTTTGACTTACTTTCCCTGCAACTGGCAGAACTTTGATTGCTTTGGTTGTTGTGCCCCCCCCCCATTATCTCTACAAGGATGAATAAACAGTTCATCATAGTTCATTATAAAAGTGATAGGTGCACTTTCAGACACTTCAAGGGCAAAAACAAATGTTCACTCATAACAAACAGCTTGTGATCCCCATGTAAGGAGATCGTGACCCACAGTTTGAAAAACACTTCTCTATAAATATTGAATTACATTATCATCATGATCTCAAACAAAGTTTAGTAAAATAATTTTCTTCTACCAAAAAAAAAATCATTGTATCTTTCAGTTCTTTTTACTTTTTAGGATCATGAACACCATTAGTTCTTCATGCAACATTGTATGTTCCAAAACTTTCAAGAGATATAAGGAAACACCTGATGTGTCCCTACTAGAGATGGAATTCTGTACATGGACTAGTTGACTCGTAGAGTTACTGTTAATAATTTACCATTTTAGGCACAAGCCCATAGCATTGGCTGAGTGACATACTAAAAAAGTACACTGTTTTTGTAAAGGTGAAAAATGAGATGTGGGTATGATAGTTTTTTTAATTTTGTGGTATATTATTTCATAAGTAGTACCCTTTGAAGTGTTGTATTTAAAGGGAACTGGATGACAAAAGGAATCCCACTTGTAATTGTAAGAACTTATGTGCGAAAGGAAAGAAAAATATGTTATAATAGGTTAACCACACTACATCTGCAGGATACAGTGCCAACAAGGCCTTTCATCCGGCCAGCTGGGATGTGACACACATAATAGTGACCTAGGCACTGTTTATATTATTAGCTTTCATGAACAATGACTATTATGGTTAAGTAAGTGAATTGAAATGAAGTATGAGACTGAGTTCCGTGAAGTCTAGTATTATCTCATGAGTAAGCTTATTTAACATTGTATATAAATTTCATAAAAGACATCAGAAAGGGCTGTTTATTTAAATCAGTTTCGACATTTTTCACACAAATGATGATTTTGGCAAGGTATGCACTTTTCATTATTTTCAACTTATGTAAGAGACAAAGTTTTATGTATAAATAAATAAATACAGATTATTTCATTAATTTAATTTAAAATAATGTTAAAGTGGTTATAATGAACTATAGTTTTGTTTATCAGAGGTGTGGGATATTACAGTTTATACTTTAAAGAAACAAATTATGATCTAACATTTTAGTACGTCAAACATCTGTTTCAAACTTTATTTTTCCCACTGCTTTTAGGGGATTAGACCTTATTGAAAGAGAAAAAGAAGTTTGTATCTTACAGCAGAAATCACAGATGTTGGGTGAGTTTATTCTTTCAATTTAGCTCTTACCAGTTTGAAATGAACTCAATGAGAGATGGATTTTTCACCAACACTACATGAATAAAAAATAACTTTAATTCATTGGTAATACTTAATATTTTATTGCAATTTGTACATCATAGTTCACATATTCGATGACGAGGAACCCACTTTGAGACTAATAATGGCTGGAGACGGCTTAAATGGGTAATGAAGAAAAACTTTAAT